TTGTGAACAATTAGGTGGATGGAATGTTTCTAAAGGAGGGTTAGCTCACCTTTAAGCTTTCAAAATCATAGATAACTTCTCAAGACTCGCATTATAATACCAAGATTTTGGCCGCATCGGCCATTAGAAAAACCCCGAATTTGTTCGAAATTAAGATAAAATATTCGTTTTAAATTTTAACCAGCGGATTCTGTCAAAAACTATTATTTAGATTGCCGCAACTGTTTGAATTAAAAAAGACATCCCAAGCTGCTGTCATTCGTTAGCACAAGAATGGTATTTCATTAGGGCGGCACAAACTATTTCCAGGCGTGAGACTTCAATAAAACGCAAAAAAAAGTAAACACATCTGATATGCAAGCGGCTCTTCTTGTTTCCGCTACAATTTTGTTTAAAAAATTTAAAAAAACGAGTTACTGACCAAAAAAAATTTCATCTTTTGCAAAATGTGTTTTTTTAGCTCGTGGAAGATGAAAAGTTCAAGACAAAAACCTGAAATTTAGGTATAATTGACAGTAACGTTGGAAAAGACATTCAAAAAATCGCCATAAATCATCGTTTTGGCACAGTGTTGCAATGATTTGCCTGTGGTGCTAACCTTTCTCGTTTCAATGTATTATTTTGGGCTTTTCATTATAAGTTTTTTAACGTTTCCAAAACAATTTAGTTAACATAAAAAAAGCCAATAAAGAGTTTAAAAACCCAACACACCCCTCCACAAACTCCTATATCAGTCACTGTTCTTTAACTGCAAAATCTCCGCATAATGATTTGTATAAAAAGTGTAATCAATTTACTCAATTACGTATTGTAATTAGCTATTTTCGCGGTTGTTGCCATTGATTTTAAAAATCTAATTAAATGAAATATAACTTTCGGTTTGCCTGATTTTTAAAATAGTACTACCTTGAGATGATGTTTTGTTTTTATTATTTTTATTGCATGAAATATTCAACCATCAACTTGTTTTAATAGAGGAGATTTTGCTAAAAAAGCGTATTTTTTGTCAGAGTGTACATAACTTTCGGGCATGCGGTGCTTCGGCATTGAAGGACTTTACAAGCTCCATTTTCTTATAAAATATCTCGAAAAAATGTTGAAGAACAATTGCCCGCCTCAATTTAGCGTTAAAATAATTAGTCCGACACTAGCTGGGCACAGGGGCGGATCTATAATTTTTTCGAGGGGAGGGGGGTAAGGCAGATTTTTGTAGAAATTTTGTAGACCTTTTTTTCTCTAGGTCGAACAAATTGGTTTTGTGAGTTCTCCTAAATCACTATAAGGCCCCCATTTTGACCAAATTTTCTGCGCCGCAGGAAAAATTTTGAAAAAACAGGCCCAAAAAAAGCGTTTTTAGGCAATTTTTGGAAAACGTTCACCAAAAAATCGCTCTTTTTTGGCGCGCGCTCCCCCCTCAAATTTTGTATATATTGGCGCCAAAGGCGCCTTTAGAAAAAAAACGAGGGGGGTCCGTCGACAAAAATGGATATATCAAAATAGTACAAAGAGGCGACCCTTTGGGTCGGCAGGGGGTCGCCCTCCCCCCTCCTAAATCCGCTGGTGATTGGACAGACGACCGTTGCGCCGAGTAAAAATGATGTACTGAAAAGCTGTGCAAAGAAAATTTGAAACTCGCAATTAATAAGTCCCCTTCAGCATTAATTTTTTGCTCAATAATTGACGCAAAATGAATCTCTTATGTTTTGAGCCGAACAAACGTTAAAGCTATAAAGAAAATAAAAAATGAATTTATACAAAACTGAGCAGATAACTGTACAAACAAGACTTGATAAAAAAAGAAACAAATTTCAAATGGAAGGGGAAACAAAAATTCAAATATTATCAAAATACAACTCTTGCACTAGCATTCCAACAGACCCCAGGAGGTGAGACTTAGTCGAGGCCTGCAGGGTTTGACCTGCGAACAAAGCAGGAAAAAAAGTCTAGTACCCGATTGCAGAAGTTTTGCTCTCTCAAGTGCAGACAAGTACCAACAAAATTAAAATGAGATCATGCATCCAAATTTTACAATTTTTTAATTAATAGATTTTTAATTATGTTTATTAAAACAAAAAAGACAAATGTGGAAAATGCGATAAATTAAACGCAACATTCTAATGTTATATTTTTGCTAAGGCAATGAATAGTTTTGATCCCTCAAGCTTGCTAAAAACAAAAACAATTCATGCCAGAAGACGAAAAAATTCTAAAATTTAATTGCAGATGTGACGACTAGCTAAAAGTTGTGCAAATAGCACAGAAATTATTTCCGAACATAATAAAAAGCTTTTTCAATTTCGTGTAGTTTTTTGTACTTGGTTTGATGCAAAAAAACTCGCCAAAAATTTAGAAAGTAAACTAAATTAGGCATAATTAACTACATTTCTCTTCAAGAAACGGATCACAAAGTTGAAAAAAAAATCGATAATTCAATTTTTCAATTTTTTGGACATCTATTTATCAAAATTTTTAAAAGCCTTTTGATGCCAAAGAAGGGCTATAGGAAATATCAAAATCAGTAATCTGGTAGTAAAATTAATTTTTTCGAGTCTTGAATAAACTTTTTAAACACCTGCTTTGCTTTACTCGCTTGAAATTATACTAAAAAGCAATAACTCTTTTCTTGAAAGAAATAATTGTGAAAATTTTTTAATGCAGCTCGAGTCCCGACACGGAAATTTTTCATATTTATAATAACTACCTAGCTAACTTAACTTTGTTCAGACTGCATTTTAATTGTCCTCGAATAGTTTTTGAAACGACACTTCGATGAACTATAAGTTTTGAGCTATGCCAATATCAAGTAATTAAGTTTTATATTTTGCGTCGCATAGGGAATTATTGTGAACAATTAGGTGGATGGAGTGTTTCTAAAGGAGGGTTAGCTCACCTTTAAGCTTTCAAAATCGTAGATAACTTCTCAAGACTCGCATTATAATACCAAGATTTTGGCCGCATCGGCCAATAGAAAAACCCCGAATTTGTTCGAAATTAAGATAAAATATTCGTTTTAAATTTTAACCAGCGGATTCTGTCAAAAACTATTATTTAGATTGCCGCAACTGTTTGAATTAAAAAAGACATCCCAAGCTTCTCTCATTCGTTAGCACCAAAATGGTATTTCATTAGGGCGGCACAAACTATTTCCAGGCGTGAGACTTCAATAAAACGCAAAAAAAAAGTAAACACATCTGATATGCAAGCGGCTCTTCTTGTTTCCGCTACAATTTTGTTTAAAAAATTTTAAAAAACGAGTTACTGACAACAAAAAAAAACAAAAAAAAATTTCATCTTTTGCAAAATGTATTTTTTAGCTCGTGGAAGATGAAAAGTTCAAGACAAAAACCTGAAATTTAGGCATAATTGACAGTTACAGTGAAAAAAACATTTCGACAACAGTTTTCATCAAAAAATTCCAGGCGATAATTCCCTATTCGACGCAAAATATAAAACTTAATTACTTGATATTGGCATAGCTCAAAACTTCAGAAAAAGCATTTTTTCTTAAAAAGTTTTTAAATTTGTAAAAAAATTTGTAATCCAAAAAGTCCCTGAGTGTCATTTTATCGGAGGGTAACTAAGTTTTTACGCAACTACATTTTTGAATGTTTTGAAAACTGTTTATTGCCAAGAAAGGAGTGATCAACAAGAAAGTAGTAATTTTTGTTCAGACTGAAGTTATCTTCTTACCGCCGAATTCAAAGTTTTTCTATCAAAAGTAAACAAAAAAGTTGATATCGATTTTTTTCGACTCTGAAAGAAAACTTGAATCTTTTTTCAATGTCGTTCAAATTGCAACCACCTGGTCTTCAATACCTTTAATAGAATATATTACTCGACTTTATCTACTGATTATTTGTGGTACCAAATTTTGCTCAGAAAAATGAAAACAAAAACCAAGAGCAGCCGGTTGCTGTGCAAGTAGCGCAAAAAGATCCCGGCCGCGATAATAAAAAACAAAAAATCGAAAATTTTTATCAATATATGACGTAAATATCGCGGTAGAGATCATTTGTAGATTTCGAACGAAAACATATATTACGTTTACTCGATAGCGGTTAAAACATTTCCTCGATGGATAGAGAAATTTTAGAAATAAAAAACGTTTCTTAAATATTTGCAGACCTTTCTGGATGTTTTTAAAACAAAAACGCTGAAAAAGGCTTTAAGAAGTTTTAAGAACTAATTCTATCGAGTAAAACTCAAGTTTGACGTCTTAACTTGAATTATAAGAGTTCAACTATTATAACCCAATTTGAAACCTGGCTCAAAATTACACTTAAACTCAAAACTATCCCATTGTCGTTCGAATCGCAACTGAAAAATTGATGATACGGTATATCACTCGACTCATTGCAATGCTTATATGTGGTACCTGATTTTCCGAGAAAAAAAAACAAACAAATCCGAAGACAAAGTTTTGCTCCGGTTTTAGTTGTCGGAACAATAAACAATGAGACTTAAGGATTAAACCAAGACATCCAGCTTCAGCGTAACAATTTTTACTGAACGTAAATAAATTTTTTAAAGCAAGATTTGGGTTCAAAATTATGCTAATATTGAGGTAGTGCTTGCCGAATAAACGCAAGTAAAGTCAAAACCTTCCCAGAAGTGCCTAAAAATGTCTTTTTTGCCGTTTTTTCAAAAAAAGAAATTCCGTCTGGCCCAATAAATTTGGTCAAAATAATATTGAAATTTATAATATTGGACTATATTGTAGTTCTCGTGGCCTTCACTGTTTTACTTTTCGATACTGGAGTTTGCCTTGCTTTCAACAAAGGAAATGAAGTGAGATTAGACAGAAATCAAAAGTCTACCGCGAAAAATCAAATTTGAGAATGAACGCGTTTTAAGACTTTTCCTAAAAACAACATAAAAATTATCGCGACCTATAAAGAGTCTTCAAGTCTTCCCTGCGTTCATCGACTCTAAAGACGTTCTGCTTTACTGAAGTCATTCCATAAAACTGACGTTAAATTTAATTACTTATAAACTTAATTTCTAAATTTCAAAATAAATGAATTATCGAGAGAATCAAATCAAATGTCAAATGCATTTACCCTGTACATATCTTTGAAATAATTGGTTCGATCAGAATAAGCATAGTTTTTTTTCTGAACGAGTTTTTTTAACCAGTCAGTTTTCCAATCATTTCGCCTTTCCTGGGCTGTCGCCACAACTAATTCATCAAACTTGGCACTATTTGAAATTTGAATTACTTTACCAGCTACATATACAACGCCAAAGGCAATGTATTTCTGTTCAATCTACAACTGCATGATCTTTCGTATCTTCACTTGTTTATCTTGGGAGACATGTTTTCCTTTTCCTGCACTGTTGACATGACCCTCTGCAGGTCAAATATCTCCTGTTTGATCTTTAGTCTATAAATCTGGTGCATCAATTGACTCCTCTCCGATTCCTGAAACAAACGGCCACAATTAATCATATTCAGTTGTTCAATAAAATCAATAATGAAAATGGTTTAAGCTCCTATCATTATGCGCACTATAATAATATCTACATGACGGCAAACGAAACTAAATAGCATCCTTGAATAGCGATCCCTAAACAGCGACTCTACGCTCCCCGTGGTTGATACTTGATGCTATCGGGTGACTTGTTGCAGCCCAAAAAAATGATCTCTTTGACTCAATTAACAGAAAAAGAAAAAGATAGCTCTTCAAATTCTAGAAACTCTCAAAAGGCTCTTTGGATTTTTAGAACAATTTATGATTGACACTTTTTTGATAAAATTAACCGAATTCGAGAAAACTGGATCAAAAGGTTAAACGTTTGTTTAGCTGGGAAATCTGATAATTAAATTCCATTTTCGAAAATAGAAATCGATCATATTTTTCCTAAACTTTACACTTTCGCTGTTATATAGTGGAGTTTGCCTTCCCTTAACAAAGAAAATGAACTGAACTTATAAAAAGATATCAAAGTCAAACCGCGAAAAAAAAACCATCACGACCTATATCATGTCCAATTTCGCTTTAAGGGTTACACTGTGGACAATTAATAACAAGAATAGTCGGTTACTGTGCAAGTAGCACAGAATGTTCCGACCATAGCCTTAAAAACACGAAAAACGTTTTTTTTCTTCAAATTAGAGTCGCTTTTTCTGCGTGGTGTGATAAAAGGATCGGAACAAAAACTAGAATTTACAGTCATAATAAAACACAGTCATAATAAAACAGGCAAACTGAAAAATCAGTTTCTGTACAAAAATAACTAGAAAAACAAAAAAATGGTACATTTTTTTCAATTTTTTTTTGAAATTTTTCACATTTCGTTTCTCAATTTTTTGATCATTTTGATATCTATTAGGGCGCTAAATACGCATAAACTAACTTTACTTGAATAAAACTTAATTTTCAAAGCTTAAATTAAGCATAAACAAGCTAATGTAAGCCTGCTCACTCGCTCGAAATTAGACAAAAAAAATCAAAAATCAAAAATGTGGTTCGAATTACGACTAAAAGGGCTTTAACTTCGTATATCACTCTAACCATTCCAATGATTTTTTTGGTACCTGATTTTGCGTGGAAACAAAAGAAAAAAAACAGAACACACCCGAATACAAAGTTCCTCCACATTTTTCAATTGGTCGGAACAACAAATAGGGCCCTGAATTTCTTTGAATATCACAAACCTTTTATGAGTAACACTTTTTTGATATATTGACCCTATTAAAGAAAACTGGATCAATAAGTATTTTCTTATTGCCTTGGAAATCTTCAAATATAAATCCAATTTCGAGAAAAAACTGAAATATGTTTTTCCGCGACATTTGCACATTTATAAATGGAGAGCGCAATTAGCCTTCCATTTATCAAAACATAGCCAACTGACAGCTGGAAAAGATTACTGAACGCTAGGAAACTGAAAAAAAAACTGACTTGTTTTTTCAAAAACCTTCAACTTTCGAAATAATAGATGGCCTTAAAGCTCTTTGACATTGTAGAACAATTAACGATGGACACTTTTTTGTTGAAACTAACCCAATTTGATAAAACTAGATCAATAGGCAAAACTTTGGCTAATTATCCAGGATCATTAAGCAAAACTCTGATAATTATTTTCCATTTTTCGTGACCTTTACACTTTTCAGCAAGACCTCAAAAAAATCAGCAAGACCTATATAAGAGTACTCACTATGCTTATTACTCTTAATAAATTTGGATGAAACTTAGAAAGAATTAAAAATAAAATGCGTTCATTAACACTTGACAAGAGTAATAAAAAGAGCTACTGACCAAATCCACGCCCAGCTCCTTGAGTGTCTTGTCGTTGAGTCTGGTGAGAGCGGCCCCGTTGACGTCATGGGCGAGGAAGACCTCCGCGTACTTGTCCGCCAGCCGTGACTCATACCTCTTCAGCCACTTCACTACCTGAAGGGAGAGAACGAGGAAACAATTATTTCAAAAATTAACATGGCCTCGCATTAGTTTTTTCCCCCCAAGATAGACAGATTTATAAATGGTCATCACATAAAACATGGCATGACAAGGAAAACAAAAAAAAACAAAATAATTCTGTAAATAAGAACAAGTAAAAACGCATAATAAGATCCCCTATAAAAGACTCTTAGAGGCGGCTAGGATCCCAACACAGCCAATGGGCGATTCTTCAGTTCTTCAAATGGTAGAATGTCATGTAACAAATAAATCCCCTTGATTGACGACTTCCGATTTGAGGACTGAAGATTAGGCAAAAAAGACGTCAAAGGAGTCCATTTAGCTTACCTCTTCGGAGCTCCACAGGGCTGCTGCTCTCATCCGAGCCAACTGGGCAGAAGAGGAGGCAGTTGAACTGGGCTCCACAGCGGAAGAAACGACACTTGATTCAGTCACCATGGGGCAGAGAGAAACAGTAACTTTATCTGAAAAAATATAGCCAGCTTCAATGCAGTATCGAGCATCATTATGGTAACTATGAAAAGCTCATCTCAAATTATAAATTAAACAGCTCACTTGCCCATCCCAAAGTTGGATTTTTGGTCTTTCAAGCCACATTGATAGAAAAATTGTCCAAAAACTCTGTTAAGAGAGAGTCAGACAAGACACCACTGAGTTTTGACATCGATTTAAAACTTACCGAGATCAAATAACATAGCTTTTAGGGCTTAACGGGGAAAAACAGTGTCAATATGAATACTTTACCAAAATTGCATTTCACTTGAGCGGTTCCATGCAAGAAATATATAGCGGTTATAAATCAGCCAAAACATTAGTATTTTTATGCAAGGGTATTTTTTGCATGTACGGTTGCAAAAAAGCAGACCTCCCGAGCCAAGTTAAAACATACTTTGAAAAAACAATCATTTCAAAGAGAAATTTGCATCAATTTTCAGGAAAAAAGTATATCCAAATCGTTTGGGTAACTCATTCACGAAGAATCAGATTAATTCATTGTTTTTAACAATAACCTTACGGAAGCCAGCAGCTAATTGAAATAAATTTTACACTGCCAATTTGAAGTTTTGAAGTTTGATTTTGCTGCAGTTTAAAGCGCAGAAATTCAATTTAAGTAGAATTTCAATTATTCATTCAAGTTGGAGAACCGATATTCATTTTTCTTTGTTTATTTTGTCTTCATTCTCAATTTCTTGCGCTTCAACTTCCTCGGTTTCAGGTTTCTGATTAATTTCATTCTCAGTTTCAGATTTCAGGTTATTTTCAATTTCAGACTCAGGTTTATGTAAGAGACAAGACTCCGTTTGGTCACTTTCAACTATAGGCAACCACAGCATAAACCAGTGCAGAAGCCATAGCGGTATAAACAAAGCCCACATTTGCCACAGCATGGCCGAGTTATGGACATAACTTTCATGTACCACCTTAGAAATGAGTCCTTTCACTTGCGAGTACCATACGTCCATGTTTATTTCTTCACCAGGAAAACTGTAGCTAAATGAAACAACAGGCATCACTAAAACAATGGTAAGAGGCGATATGATTAAGCATATTAATTTCTGAATGCTTCGCATAAACTTGCATTTAGATGGGGCTGTCAAATTCATCAAAGGCACCGCTATAATTGCTATGAAATAAGTCAACGAAAAGTTGGCCACGCAATTACACCCTATTCCGATGATGCTCAAAAACATTGCAATTGATTTGTACACTTGACGTTGACTCATTGTTAATTTTTCTTGGCAATAAAGTGAAGGCATGTATAATGGTATAGTAACTATGGCTAAAAAGGCCATCAGAAAAGTCAGCATCAAAATATCTGCGTTGTCGATACTTTCTTCTAAGAGGTACTGCAGTTGGAACTCATTGAAATAAGGAACCGCGAAGTAAACAGCGCTTGGTAACAGAAACGCAGAAATCAGAATTCTGAAAACCGAAGTCACGTCCGGAATAATTCTCAAACTTGGAATATCCGGCTGCTCAAACACATGCAAAACTTCTAGCGATTTGTGCCACAGAGAAATTGCTACTATTGCACTAGAAAGCAGACAAATCACCAATGCTGGAATGTAAAGCCCAATTGATATGTAATTATTAGTACTTGGCATTATGTAATAAAAAAACGACTGGTGAAACCTTTCCAGCAGGTTGTTAATTGACCTCACGGTTCCTTCGATAGTCCTCGCGATGTTGGCATAGCCCATGTTTGGGATTCTATTACGTCCAGAAGCCGCGAGAACAAAATCACTCTGGCACTTGATTGACAGAGCATCTATGTGATATGGCAAAAAGAGGGAGTGTCCTGAAACTGGGCGCCCAGAAGCTTGTTGCCACATGCCTAAGAGCGACGTTTTAACCATTCCTAGACAGTTCTGGAACAAATCCCTAGTGGGAGGATCTCTTCTTCCGTGAAGATACACGCTACCATCATTTGACCTTGTCAACTTATCCATAACGTTGAACAAGTCGAGATTGGGTAGTTGTCCATTCATTCCTTCGAGTATAAAGTTAAGCCCGTCGCAGGATGATTGGCTGATTTCAATACTCAGAGCCGCTTGAATACTACCTCCTCTAGTTTCAAGCCTTGAGCCCTTAATGGCACCCGACTCCGGGTGCCCGTGATACGCCTGCAGCCAGGCTTGCAGTCCATTTAGCTTCGAATCCGAAAACACGAAAATCAAATCTTTGCCCCAATAAATTTGGTTTCTAAAATGCTGAGCTAACGCCAACATTAGAGGAATACTTTTGTAGACAGTATTTATGTCATAAGGAATAGCGAATACTATACTTTCTGTGCTACTGTGTCTAGGAGCTCGCATGATCCCATAAACATTTCGACCTGTTTTCGGCTGCTTCATAAATGGGTGGAAAACAGTGAAATTTTGCACATAAGCTTCAATATCCGTTTCAACTAATTTATCAACAATCCAATCGTGAGGCATTTGTCGTTTAGCCGAGGCAAGTTCGCGCATTTCCCTTTCCAGTTTAGCAGCCGTATGTTCGCTATTGAACGTCAGTTCAACTTGATTAGCTAGCAGCGCATTTTCCGAGAAGTAAGTTCTCTCGCGCAACATCGGATGAAAAAGGGCGAGGAAGGCGACAAAGTTTAGAATGTAGAGAAGAACTGCGACCAAGTTGCCATACTTAGTAGCCAGCTCGACCAGCGAGCTTCTCCTATCCGGGTCAGACAAAATTCCCATCTTCAAAGACTCATTTCAAACAGGTCTGAAAGGAAACTATAACTAAAACCGACTTCATAGCTTCAACTCTAACTAGAAGGGATAACTAAAGCAACTATTCGTTTGCGGTTCAGTATATAAAGGGGACGTCTAATTTATGCATAGGGCACTCATGATAGCAAAAAGTCGGTTTGAGCTTCGATTATCTTTCTGCTGAATATCACAACTCCCCTTCACATCAACGGCTAAAATACAGATGAGCCAAAATTACCATTTCCTCGATTAGAATCAAGTCTTATTATAACTTATACACACTCAACCAATTATCGAGCATATACTTGTTAGAAACTATCATAACAACTATCAATTCGAAACTAACCCAACTTACAAATACAACATAATTACAAAACAAATTATTCAACGGCGACCATTTTCAATAAATGTCAAGAAACAAAACGCGCATAACAATTCTTAAAACATTTTAAAATCAGCGAATAGATATATTTGTGTAGAAGCCAGGAAAATACACGACGTCGCAAAAAATAGGTAAGAAATCTCTCATGTTAGATTTTTTAAATGTTTTCTTTGAACGTGTAGATCTTTTTTTAAGTAATAACTACTTTAAACGTGATATGGCCTATTTTTCGAGACATTAAGCAATAATCGTATGGTTTCTCAGGCAACCCTCAATTATCACGGATTGTCGGTTGATCTTCCAGCCTTAAAAGGCGTAGATGTGACAGCATTCTCATTATTAATTGGCTGACTAAGCACATTCTGGCTCAAGATATTTTGGCTTAGGATATTTTGACTTTGGCTATTCGAGCCCTCTCGACTTGCTTCCTCAATCGGCGTCAACAGCTTCATGTTCGTAATTGCAGCTTCCTTTTCAACTACTGGCGACGCACAAGTTAGCGACTCGCGTTGTCGGTACGATATGGAAATTTCGCCCGAGCTTGTTCGGCTGAAAACACTCGATGGTCGGCGATATAGACCACTGGTTGAGCCGCTAACTGAAGAAGCGCCAAAGAATGAACTTTCAAAGCCAACGCCGGTCAAGTTAGACGCTAGAGAGTAATCGAATGTCGACGTTAAATTAAGTCTCTTGTATTGACGTATCGGTACATATTGACTTTGTTTAATCTCTGTTTCTACTGATTTTGTTTCTTCTCTGTCCAAAATTCTACCCAGATCATTTTTGTAGTCTTTAATCATATCGCCCAAGCAAGTCAAAACATCCACAAGAAGTTTTTCTTTTTGCTCTTGCTTCAGTTTTTCACGCAAACTCAGCATCACTGGTAAAAACTGCTCCACTGTTACATCTCGCACCATCTCTGTGAATTTAGCTGAACTCGTGGTCGATGAAGTTTCAGTAACAGATTGCCCGGAATTACTTTTAGGTTCAACTGAGTTGTTATCAGGGTCGGTGTTCTCCCGTGAACCTGATACTGTTTTCATCGCCTGATAAAAAAAATCATTTTTTTTCAGACTGCATAGAATAATATAACAACGATTAATAAAAGAGCAAAAATAGCCAGACAAACAGAAAATTTTTAATGAACTTTCGAGTATCACCCAAAAATACAACCATGCAGCTCTGTGATTTTCACTAATCTTCCTTAAAATTTAAAATTGCAATAGGGGGAAATAGCTTAAACACTTAGCTTCTTTACAAGGGGGGGATTCGGTGCAAGGTACCATAGTTAACAAGAAATAGTTAACAAGATCCAGCTTAAATTTAAGAAAACTGGATCAAGAAGTATATTTTAATTCCACTCCGAAAAAAAAGAGAAAAATCTACTTTTGAAACTGATTCTCTGTCTTCCCCGCTATTTCCTATTTCAAAACATAGCCAACTGACAGTTAAAAAAGAAGAACTCAAGGAAACTCAAGGAAAAATCTTCAACTTATGAATTTCAAAGAAAAAAAATAGATGGCCTTAAAGATCTTTGAATTTGTAGAACAATTTATGATTGAAACTTTTTTAATGAAACTAAGACAGATCACTGACTAAAACTTTTATTTCACTGGAAAATCTGATAATTGATGTGCAAATTCAAAATCAGAAGTCGATCACTTTCTTTCGTGATCTTCATACTTTCGCTGTTCGATAGTGGAGTTTGCCTTCATTTCAACAAAGGAAAAGAAATGAACTGAAAAATAAATCATAAGTCAAACCGCGAAAAATGAAAATAGAGCGTAAAGAATTTTCATGTCTTTCTTCCTGAAAAAAAACACCGAGACTTATATAAAAGACAACAACTCTTATATAAGAGACAAAAATCAACGAGACAAAAATTGGAAAGAAAGCGTGAAAATCTCAAAGAAAGTAAACATTTCCAGGGATTTAAATAAAAATTGGCCGAATATAAAAATGGCAGAAATATTCAATACTTTCAAATTGTGAATGACCGCCGACGACTTGGAACAAAGTTTATGTTTCAAGGCTTTTGTTATAAAGAAGCAAAATACTGATTCATTTAATTCTTTTTAAATGCACGGCAATTGATTCATTTTGATGTTCGACTGTTTTTCCTTTTTGGTCCTAAGCGGATGAGTCCTTCGCCCATTTGGCCCATCACCCATGATAATAGCCCCATTAATTACCATTTATTCAGCAAATGAGAGCGCGCCTATCTTAACCAGATACGACAATTCATTACAAGCAACAACTAGCAGCATGCTTAAGTGTTCATTAGGGGACTAAAAACAATGCAAATTCAGGATTAAAACTCGACGCGCGGATAGAAACTACACCTAACAACATAATTGAATTAAAAACCAACAAAAACTAAACTAAATTAAAAACAAAACTAACACGTACAATGAGGACCATTGAAAATTAGTATCACCCAGAATATCAGCGGTTTACTGCACTCTTTTCATTCAATCTCATCCCACGACTCGTGCACTAGCTGGTTTCTCTATGCCATTCAATTTCGCCATAAGCGAACTCGGTAAAAACCAAACTGTCCATGAAATATGCAATCTGAACCACAAATAAGTAAAAACTACCCGAGACCATGGTCATGAAAATATTTCTTGAAAATATTTTTTTTTAATTATATTTATGTTCCCAAACCAAGCTAATTTTAAATATTTAAAACGCATTACTGCGAAAGGCGTGAATTTTTTGCAGGGAAAACTTAAGACTCACGAGGAAACACAAACATACACCCTTTTTAAGTACAATTTCTGCTAGGAGAGCATTCTTCTATGGGGAACTGAGAACCACAACAAAAACGCATGAACCAGTTAGTAAGAACTATTTTTTTAAACGAACGGGGCGAAATTGGAGAAGTTATGAATCCCCAAGCAATTTTTACTGAAAACGCAGAAGATGTTTAAATTAAGATGATTGAGGTTTTGCGACAGTTGAAATTTTAAGCCACAACTATTCAACTAAAACGAGCAGCCAAAGTATTCAAATCTCCGACACAGTCAAAAACATTTCGAATTCTCTGAGGCCCTGATAGGTATTGTTTTTGGCTTTTCGATACCGGCCCAACAAGAAACAAGTAATGAACGCAAGTAAACATAAAAAAAACTGATTCTGTTGAAAAAATCTCAACTTTCGAATTTCAAAGAAAAAAATATATGCCCTTTTTTAAGCTCTTTGGATTTCTAGAACGAATTCTGATTGGCGCTTTTTTGATAACATTAACACAATTTGATAAACCTGGATCAATATGTAAAGTTTTTATTTCGCTGGAAATCTAAAAATTGAATTCCCCTTTCGAAACTAGAAATCGTTCACAATTTTTTGCGCCATTTCCACGTTCGTATTTGGAGAGTGCTATTTACGTCACTTTTAGCAGATGAATTTCAATTGAACTCAAAAAGTGCATATATAATTAAGTGCATTTATAAATGCCTCAATAAGTATGAATGTACATCTGTAGTTATTAGAGACTTTTAAGACTTTCTCCAGGAAAAAAATCACCAAGATCTATATAAGAGTCTTCATTACTCTTTAAAACAAACTTTTCAAGATTTTTTCTTTGAAAAAGGCTATTTTCGAACTTCCCCTAATTACTACCTAAATGATAGCAGTCTGCATGTCAGCAGTCGGGAAATTAGACATTCCTGTTAAAATTGACCATTCCGTGAACAAAAGCTGTAACATAGCTCTTTCTTTAGTTTTTGCATTAAACAGGTAATAACTTTACAAAAAACTAGGTGCTCAAGAATTGTTAACTCTATAACCGCAAGCGTAAATATTCAACACAGAAGTGAAGCTGCGCTTCGCAAACACAAGCGAAAACACGAGAAAAATCAGCTTTATAAAGTGAAATAAGAAAAAATAGAAATAAGCCTCGAATTAGTAAAATTTTGCTACGTATGGGCTTCGAACCTGCTACCTCGGGAATTGGAATCTCACGCCCTGTACTCTCAGCCACTAATGCTTTTAGGACTTTTCCTGAAAAAAAAATCAGCAAGACCTATATAAGAGTCTTCACTACGTTCATTACTCTCAATCAAATTCAACTAACGAAAATTTACTGAAATTGGAGTCAAAAACTGTGTGGCATGCAGATCATTTATTCAAAGCCTGGCATGCTTTATTTTTTCAATATTCACAGCCCCTGCTACTGTTAATGAATGAACAGGTCCCCTAGCCTACTTCTGACAGCAAAGCAAAAGTAGACATCAATATATCCAAATATCCGGGCCTTCAGACAGTTTAAAGAAGCAGTCCAAGACTTGTACCTTCACCAATTTGGAGGGCCAAAGAAAATTATCCAGAAAATTTTCAATAGTGGAGTTGTAAAACGCTGCTTTGATCACTTTGCTTCAGTTACTTGCCGCAAAATTCAAGAATTTGGATTGTTGACAATGTATCGACAATTAAAAACGGCACGCATGATCCTCAAATCATTTGTCGCTCTGGCCTTTATACCAGAGCTTGATTTCAAAATTTATATCGCTACTTCCTTCAAACAAAATTAGAAAAGAAGGAGACGTAGCCCTTTTAAATGGATTATGTGGATTAATTTCGAGACAACCCGTGTGGAAGCAAATTTCAAAGGTGGCAGCTACAAGTATTTCAGTCGAGGGCCGAGACAGTGTTTTCCGGTTTGAAAAAAAGGCACCCATCTCACCATTTACAAATATAAACATAAACAGAAAAATGTCGTTTCAATGAATTCAATAGAACTGAACAAATGACTACTGAATTTGCGTGAAAAAAAAACATCAGGTTAAAGCTCTTTCAAGATAAAGTATCTGAAAACATTAAGATTGAACTTCAAGACTGACACAGAAATTTATTATTGACACTTTTTTGCGAAAATGAAGTCTATTGGAGAAACGTCGATGAATAAATAAAATTTTTATTCCGCTGGGAAACCTATAAAACTGAAGTTCGAAACTAGAAGTTGTTCAAGTTTTTGCGCGCCATACGATTCCCAAGTTTAGCTAACTTTCAGCAGATGGAACTAAATTGAAATCAAGAAGTGCATATACACCTAAGTGCAGGGGCGGATCTAGGATTTTCTCGAGGGGGGGGGGGCGGATTTTCACGAAAATTATGTCGACTTTTTTATTAGGTCGATCAAATTGATTTTTCGAGCTAACCCAAAGCACAATAAAGACCCCATTTTGACCAAATTTTCTGCGCCGCAGGCAAACTTTGAAAAAGCAGGCCAAAAAAGCGTTTTTAGGCATTTTTGGAAAATTTTGACCAAAAAATTGCGTTTTTGGCGCGCGCTCCCCTTCAAAATTAGTACAAATTGGCGCCAAAAGCGCCTTTAGAAAAATTTTAGGGTCTGTCCGCCAAAAATGGATATCTCAAAAAAGCACAAAAGGTCGAATCCCTGGAGGGGGGGGGCTAAGTGCATGCACAAATGCATCAATATGTGTGAATGCACGTTTGTAGTTATTAGAGCATTTTCAGACTTTTCCTGAAAAAAAATACGAAAAAAAGAACAATAAAGAGTCTTCACTACATTCATCGACTCTTTAAAAAGAGTTCAACAGACTATAATTGTTTCACTGGAGCGAATCGTTGTGTTACTAAATGCTATGAATTATCCCCATGATCTATCATAATTGTTAAAAATTTTATGAATTTGACCTTTTTTTTTTACAAGTATACAAAACTTTTGGATTTAGGAGCTTGAAACTCTTTTATTTCCTGTCTGAAAAAGTTTGATCAGTAAATTTTTCCATGACCATCGTAAAATTTAAATAAACATACCTTCAACGTGAATAGCTTCAGAACATCCGATAGAATATTCTCGAAAGTTGGCTCAACCGGCCCAGAACTCTTCACGTAACATCCGACCACTTCTGTCATCAGCCGCACTTTTAGCTGAAACTTCTGCTGTTCGCTGAGGTGCTGTGCTAGGAATTGGTAGACGAGGAGCCGCTTGTTCTGATGAGCTGACACCGCTACAGGAATTTCCATTTCCGGTTGGATCTCCTCATTTCCTTCTGGAGTTTCACCGAGCCCCGAGCGAACCAGTCCTAAAATCGATTTTTTATTTACCTAATTTGGGACGAGTAAACACAAGATTTAGATTAGAGCAACAGGGATCCTAAGTTTTGGAAACCATTTAAAGCGCAACACGCATACATAAGACAAAATTAGTCAAAACATAAATTTTCCGCAAATAGCGGTCATGAATTCGGCAAACAGCTCAGATGCACTTCGCAAATGGCTAGCGTAAGGTTCTTTCGAAAGAAGCATTGCACCACGAAAGCAATCATCATTTATTCGATCAAAATAACCATTAGATCTCACACAAGTTTCAACACATCGATTATTTAAACAACTAGCTACAGCTAATAAATCTATCTACCCAATCCAAAAAAGCAATTGCAATTGAATTATTGTTTAATACTTGTCACACCGAGGCGAAGCAGAGGTTCGCGCCACTTGCAATGCCATTCAAAATCAGAAAATGTGGCGGAAAAACTCCATACGTTTGTCTCGAATTTATTCAAACTCGAACATATTCCGACAAACAAGCGAAAATGTTAAACTACCTATCAAAAACACGTTAATCACGTTCACAAATCAAGTTAACAATAATGTTGACATTGATGGCCAACATACGTTATTTCATTAACATAAGTATATCTAAAAATAACACAAGTCTACCCTACATGGCTTATTAAACTTCCCCAAGAAAAAAAACTATTTTATAAAAATTCTGCTCTTGGCCAGCATCGAATCCATAACCTTTGTCGTCTCCAGCTCAGACGTTATCTCTGAACTAAGTGACCCAAATTGGGACCTCGAACGAAGTATACTGAGCAAATACTATCAAAAAACTGAGCTATATTCTCATTTATAAATGCTTGCTAATTGCAAGCGAAGAAAATACGGCCCGTCGAATAACAAAAATAATGAAAAAAAAAATTTAAAAAGCCAAGGAATAATCTAAATTTGAGAATCTTGCAAGTTTAATTTTTCCAACATTATATGGATGGATTAAGATGGTTAATTAGATTTTTCATAAATTTCTCAATAGAACTCAATCATTCTAAAAAATACAAATAAAAATAAATACGACCTATATGACCTCTACGTTCATTAGCACCTCATAAAAAAACATTTGCGTTATTTGTTTTTTAGTTTTTTTCGGCTGTTTTAAGAAAAACCAAGGGACTCAAAATACACTTCAGGCCTCAGAGGTGAAGCTACACTTCGCGGGAAACAAGCAATAAACAGCAAAAACAGCTCCAAAAGGTCAAAAAAATGAGATCTTACAGAAATACCCACAAAACAAACGACATAAAAAACACTCATAGAATGTTACTGGGCAAATATCACAGATTAATCCGACCACAGTAAACTTTTTCTATTTTTCGCATGTTTTTGGACTGCAAAGTACGACTAATAAGGCTCTAATAAAAATCCACTCTTTATCCTTCCGAGCTTTTTAGGTGGCACCTAAAATGGCTCGTAACCAAAAAATGGTTTGTTACCAAAAAGCAAGCCTTATATATTTTGACTATAGTTCGAAACGAGAACTATTCACTAATTCTTGTTACTACTACCCGAATTAGTAATAACTTGATCTACGGGTCGGACTCGAACCTGCGACCTCGAGTCTCACGTCCTTCTCTCTCAGCCACGAACGCTTAACGATCGTCAAACACTAGCCACAAATAAAGCAGAGAACAGATGCTAAGAAATTTCCAATGCTACATATCGTGATTATAGCAAAAGTACCACCAAATGAGCACTGTTTTTGCAAGTTAGGTTGGGAAACAGGTAGAGTCACACTAATACACTCCTCGCTACCTCGTTAAAGCAATTGAGACCCATTAGCTTGCCTCGAATCATTTCTGAACGTTTATTTGGAACGAACTTCGAATATTGACTTAAATTGCAGATTGAATCGCGCAAGTTAGTCCAATAAACTGAGAAACAGACAATATTAAATCTCCAAAACTTTGCGAAAAAAAGTTTATAGACTAAATTCCAGGTTAACTTTCAGCTCAGAACGTCGATACCTTCGAAGAGGTATAAGAATTGTCGGATCTACTTAACAACCTCCACCCCTTTCAAGAAAGGGGGGAGAGATTGTTAAGCAGATCAAAATGGTCGATTTTTCGACCAATCAGAATGCAGCAAAGTTATGAGATTCTCAATAGAAAGCTCAGTGCTAATTTACTGTATTTATTAGGGGGGGGGGGGGAGGGGGAGAGAGAGATTATTAAGTAGATCCGAATCATCACTCAAAAACTGCTAACAAAATGAGCGACTAGCCTAGGAAAAATGTGCTCTTATCGGATAGCATTCTGCTCGCACTTCCCAGAGCAAATGAAATAATTCTAGTTTTAATAACAAGAAAAATCAGTTAATTCAGATATCAAAACCAATCGTTCTTGCTCATCCATTAACTAGCGGTAAATCAAAAAAAGAAATAAATAAAAAGAATATTATACCACATGAAATCCAATGAGTTTTCTTACAGGTACTCGAAAGAAAAAACGGAAGTCGCGCAGAAAATCCCTTAGTTGCCTCCCTTTGAAGAATGGGCAGAACAATCACTAAGAACACTTATTTGACAAGTAGTTTATAACGCATTCTACAAACCTTCCTTGGGGAACTGGTTGTATTTGGGATGAGTGTGGTGTTCGTTGAGGAAGAAGAGCGTCTCTGGCAAGTGGGTGAAGAAGAGGGAGCGGTGTCTGGTGGCCATGTGATCTAAACAGTATTCGGCCAGTCTTGCCACTTTCTCCGTCTCATCCACGTACAAAGTCAGCATTCTGCAATAAAACTCGACAGTCCATGCAAAAAATTGCGACATTTTTTATTCACATTGTATCATTCAAAACGCATAAAGGTGCTCTTTCGCAATAAAAATCAGATCAAAACATATACATGGATTTCTTTTTTGTTCAATATCTTTTTGAATTGAATTTTTTTGAAGTTCAAGCTCTGATAACATTTAACAAAAAAAAATCATTGTAGATGAAGCATATTCATCCGACAAATTTTGAATCATAGCATAGGAAGTTCAGCTGAATCATAGCAAAGGAAGTTCAGCTTTAAGGTCCCACCTGAAAAAAAGACTGTCGCGTATCTTTATGTACTCGTTCTGGAGCAATTCAAACACCACAGCTAGTGTCTGGTATCTCAGGAATGAATCTGGACATGCTAGATATCTGTATATTCGGGGCAGGAACCTCTCCACTGTATGCGTGTATCGCTTGCATAGGTCACAGAGAACTATTATAGCGTTGTTGGCTACTTTCAGAGAGCAGTAATTTTCTCGGTAGTCGTCATGTGTAGAAGGGGCGATCAGATCTCCCAACAAATCGGCTCCTTTTTGAAAAAAAAATCTTTGCTTAACCAAAATAACCGACTCATAACAGATGTTTAGTAACAAGCAACTATCTGAAGTTCTTGTTGATTTTAAAGATTATGTTAGTTGATAGAGATCAAAAGGGGGAGCGGTGGTGAAGTGGTTACAACTCTGCCTCTCAATCGAACGCTCGAGGCCCACCCTGATCCTTGCTCGTTGCTTGCGGATTAGGCAACATTCCTCAGCCCAGAAAATTAATCAAAAAATTGCATTTAGCACTTAAAAGAGGCACAGCAGCGGTTCTCCGTAGTGAGCTGAACAGCTTGTATGTTCGTCCTTTCCATTATGTATAAGTCGTCATAAAAGTAGTTGACAATTTTGTTGATTTGAAAGCTGATGCTAGTTGATGTAGGTCAAAAACTCGCATGAATCACAATTCAAACTTAGTCGCAGCGGATAAACAGAAAATTCGAGGAAGTAACCTTGTTTATTGAACTCTTCGAAGATTAGACACATGTTTCCAATGGCGATCACGCCCACCGCCTGAACAGACGCCATATGTTCATCATCCAGCTCCGGATTCTCAGCATTTTGCTTCCGAATACTTAATAAACTTTGCATCATCTTCAGAAGTGGTTTGAAGCAAGACTTCAGGGACGAAAGAGCATTTGAACACTCTTGCAGATTGCAGAAGGTCAGTTGGCCGACTATGAACAGTTTGCGCATGAAGCTCTCGTTGTCGAATGCTGGTTCGTCCATTAGATACACGGAGGGGTCATAGGTTTTTATTGCTTCTTTTGTTCCCTAAAAAACCTAACCAATAGTTTTAAAATCAAGCTCCGATTAATTCTAAGGCGATTTATTCATTGATCAAATAATATCGTTATGAGTGAGTGAACCTGAAAAAAAATGGTAAAAATTTATGATATTTGGTTTAAAAAATGGTTCCCGCAATTTTCGTGACCAGCTAACATGCGGAAGCAAACGTTTTTCAATGCAATTTTCAACCATTGTTTTGGAATACTTTAAAAAATTTGAGGCTCTAACTATCCTAAGTTAGCTAGCTAAAATGTTAATCAAAAATACCTCTGCTGTAAAAATGGCGTAATTCTGCAACACTTCTTGTAACTCATATTTTTCCGTGATCACACTCACAGCGCCCAAAATATCTGTTGCGCAGTGCAATGGTAGTGACACTTTTCCCGCCACAGCCAACAGAGAATTCACTGCACTGCTCATGTCTGCTTTCGGGATTGACTTCGGGGATGAGAAGCAGAGGATGTCCACGATGAAAGACAGTCTGAATCTGTCATTCTGCTCAACGATTGAGTTGTCCATCGTTAGGTTGCTCGTCACTTCTTTCAACGCCTCATTGGCAACTAAATTCAAAGCTCAGATTTCAACTCAATAAATATTTGAGTGGTCTTTTTTGTTCTGGTTTTAAAATCGAAACTCCTCATTAACCTTGGATTTTTTTATAAAATATCTAGCTTACAGTCATATTTGTGCATTAAACTGCTTTCAGACAAAGAAAAACAAGTCTTCGCCATATTAGCTAAAAAACATTTTCGCTTGAGAGTTGATTACAAAATAACAGTAAACAAAATGATTAATGAAAAAAGAAGGACAGCCGGTTACTGTACAAAAAGCACAGAATGTTCCAATCTAAGTTTTGTAACAAAATGGCTGAAAAAACGGAAAGTTTTTCTAATTTTATTGCAAAATTCAAAATTTGATTCCCAATTTAATATTCAAAATTTGATTCCCAATTTAAAATTTTGAAGTTTTTGATTCCCGACATTCGCTAAAAAACTCCAAAAACTAATTTTACTCCAGTAAAACAAAGTTTTCACAGCTTAATTTAAGCTTAACCTTCTATAAGCTTTTCGTGCGCGCTCACCTTGTTAGCTTGAAATTAGACCAAAAAATAGACCAGAAATTTCAAAACGGTTTTTCTCGACACCGAGACTGAAGGGGCTTTAATATGACATATAACTCGACCCATTACGATGATTATTTCTGGTACCTGATTTATCGTGGAAAACAAAAAGAAAAAACAAAAACACACCCAAATACAAAGCTCCTCCATATTTTTCAAATGATCGGAACAAAAAGTTAACTGAACAATGTGTCATAAATATTTCAACACAGATGCGAAGCTGTGCTTCGCAAACACTAGCGAGAACACGAGAGTGCAATAGTAAAAAGTTAGCCTCAAATTACTGAAAATTAGGCTACGTCTCGGATTCGATCTGCGAGCTAGAGATTATGAATCTCACGCACAAACCACTCAGCCATCAGCCACGAAATTTAAAAACTAGCCACAAATAAAGCAGAGAACAGATTCTATTAAATTTCCAATGCTACAGATTGTGATTACAGCAAAAATGCCACCAAATAAGTGAACACTTTTAATGAACACTTTTATTTGCGAGTTAGGTTGGAAAAAAAGAAGTTTCGTACTAATGCACTTCGGTCGCAAGTGTAAACATGCACTCTTACTTATTTTCCACTCCTTTGTCTTCATGATTCGAGATAGTAGCATCCAACACGACACCTCGTGTCTCTTTGCTCTAACACAGTCCACCAATTTTTCCACACACGGTTGTAGAACTTGCCCGCATAATTCAGCTGCACCCAGTCGGAAGAAGTACATGTAGTTGTCAGATAGGGTCAGGATGTCGAGTAGACTCCAGGCCATGAGGACTTCCGAGGAACAAGTGAGATCATCAGAGGACTCCATACGACTGAGAGGAGTGAGGACTGTCACTTCGAATACTGAAATGGCTCGCTCTACTACTGCCTTCTCGCTAAAAAATTCAATCAAAACACTTCGGATTCCCAATTCGCTAGTGTCCAAAAATTGAGTCACAAAAACATATTTTTCTTTGCATCCAAATTTGTGGCAATTACTTATTTAGATTATTGATCGATTACGCTTTCTAGTAGCATGCGTTACGAGGAACAACAAGTACAAGCTGTTCAGGTCTGTGCGGCAAACAGATGTTGCGCAAATTATTAAGACTTATAATCACTTTTCGGTTATTTCTCTGGCCTGGGAAATACTGTCTCACCATAGCAAGCAGTGAGCATGATCATGGTAGGCCTTGAACCACTGACCTTACGACCAAAAAACTGCACTACTTTGCTATCGATCTTAATATCGGAATTTTTAATGGAATCACATTGCAATTATGGTTCCGCTAGAGTTCAACTTACGGGTCAGAGAACAGCGGCATAACATTGACCAGCCACGCTTCTTTGAACTGATGCTCCAAAGCGAACTCATGCAACAATTTCGTGCTACTTTCAATTGCCTGCTTCCTAATTACCAACGTAGCATCCGTCGAGGCCTCATTTAGTGCAGCAGTGATCAGCTGTTTAGCTGAGCTTGTCGATAATAAACACACTACTACGTCTACGAAAGCTTGAAGTGCCGCTTTACGTACATTGCACTTCTCGTCACGACAACTCGGCAAAAAGATAAGTTCGAAACACGATTCATTCTCGCCAAGCGTGATAGCGCCACTATCGTGCAAGTTCGGGTCCAAATCCGGCGGCATCGTCGAAGCGCTGTTATAGGGCTCCTCACTTCCCTGATTTTCTGAACCATCGCAGAGCATAGATCTTAGTTTGGTCTTGAGAACTGTTGAAATTGCTTCGCTTCTCAGCTTACACATGGTCGAGATACAACTGAACGCTTTGGCCCTGATCGAAGGTACTTTGTCTGAACATCGGTCAAGTATAGATCCGACTAACTGTTCATGGTCCAGGTTCATTCTATTTTCAGTACCAGTACTTGAGCTGAAGTTGAGTAGTTTTTCGAGAACTTCCAGCACAAACAGTCTTTCATTTTGCTAGAAAAAAAAACATAACATGTTAGTTAAAACTCACGAAAGAAGATATACAGATAGATTGATTTGACTCTCTCCATAAGCATCCACAATTACTCTTTATTCATATCGAAAACTAATACATATTTTGCATTTAAAACCTAACCAGGGCGCAGCTTTGAGAAACAAATGAAAACAATACGGGACGCATTTAGGGTTTTCAGAAGGTGCAATTTCTAGACTAACCAAAGTGATTTTACGACCTCTCCTATAAAAATGATGGAAAATAAGTCGCAAATTAGTAAATACAATTTAGGGTTGGTTTATGTAAAAATGGATGCCGTTTTGTTCTTGAGGGAAAGGAAAACTTCTACACGCTTAGTTAGTTTGATTAATAATTACCTTCGAGCTGTGTAGTTTACTGAATAGCCACTCGGACATGACTTCGTAGCAGTACTCTGGAAAGAGTGATATGATAGACACCAAGGAGTCCGCTGTCTTGCTCCTAGAACACAACGACGTACAGATTCCAAAAGAGCATCTGATTTAGGTCATATCGTTGATTTATTACTATCATTAGACTTATTAGTATCATTACGGACGTATTAAACATTTTGAAAATGTTCTTTGTTTATTTGTGATCTTGAATTATCTCGTCCTTGCTGGTGGTGCAGTATAAAACATACCAGTTTCTGCAAAAAGAGGACTTAACTTTGAAAATAATACTAAATACTTCCATGTGATACTTTTGCATGTTCCATTTACATAAATCGATCTGTTTCGACAAGCTTCTATCTGCTAATTTTAACATTAGAGAATTACAAACCGATATTCCATTTTGTCCACTACACCCACAGTCACATGCTGAGCCAGAATGAAGGCACTCTGCGATGCTTCTGGTTTCTCCTGGATCAAATCGCGAATCAGCTGGACAGTCAGCTCGGCCAGACGGACCACTGGCTGTGTCAGTGTAGCCTGTGCTGTGGATCCATCCAGCTGGTTTGGGTTCCTCATCACCACAATCGACATGAGGTGTTTCATCAGTATGCTGTCCTGTTTCAGGGTCAGTTGGTGGATGGGGTTTGTCATGTAGGTTCCTAACACTTTCAGACACAGTCTAGCATCCAGGATCCTAAACAATTACATTGTTCAAGCAAAAAAGGACAGTGCAAAAGAAATAGCAAAAGAGCAAAATTATTACGAATTAAAATCATTGTCAACAGCAAAGTTAGGAAAACACAGCACTAAAGTACCTGTGATACGCAAAAAAAAACAATACTATTTCTTCTCGCCAATTTATCATTCGTTTTTATAGGCTTTTTCATAGCCCCTTAGGTCCGAAAAGATCAACCACTTTTTCAAGATCAAACTACGGGTTCACTCAAGAACCCAGCGGAATTTACAATGGATCCCAACAAAGTTATGAACATACATGATTGCACAACCTACTTTGAGAGCTCCTTTGGTTTCGAATACGTGCAATAGTGCAGTGCACTTGCCAATCTCGTCACTAGCATATGTTGGGAGAGATCGGACTGAGCAAGAGATACCCTCTCCATGACCAGATTCAACACTGTGACCAGTTTGTTCACCAGCTGCAGGAGGCTCCCTATCTGGGGAGACCTCAGACTTCCACTATCTCCTTCGTCATTATCTTCATCAAAACTCTTTGCCGAGGGTCGCGAGCGTGACTTGTTGGATGTTTTGTTTTGTACCTCTAAAAATGCTCAAATATAAGCATCAAATTAGAACTTTAACCAAACAAGTATCAGGCTCGGAGACAATACTGCTTCATAGTAACTTAAGAGCAGTTTAATTAAGATTCGATAGTTCATTTCGGTACGGTAAACGGTAAATCTCTGAAATGGATAAAAATTTCAACAACGACATCTTTTTTTAGATCTGAAAATCACATAAAATCTAATATTAGAACTAACCATTGGTTAGAAATCTGCAGACGCTTTGCGGTTGTTCCACAGCATATTGAAATATACCCACGTCAAATATCCCATTCGCGCCTGCACCGTCAATAACAAGTATATTCAGGTAGCATATATACGACCACAAATTAAGAGTCAGTCCTTGGTACGTCTGATTTTTTGGGTCTGAACAAAGTGGTTTGCGCAACTGTTCGCATATTTTCAGAATATTCAGACCTGAAGATTGAAAGGAAGACCAGAGAAGAGATTTGTACTCGCTTTGTGCAATGAGATTGGTGGTGGACTGGAAAGCTATTATTAATGCAGACTGATTTTGCGTGGCGAACTCTGAGAGAGGGAAGTTTGGAATGTCCCGCTGGCACCACTGAGACAGCGCAGTATCGCTGAGCTGATACGGCCGCCTCATAAAAACAAAACTAATCTGAATTTAAGATGGAACCGGAATCAATTAAATAATATCAATTGTTCTGATGAAATCTTCTAGGCAGCGAGCATGTTAAACTCTTGAAACTGCCAAGAATTTTCGCTTACACATCAGCGAGGTGCAGCTTAGCATAAAGCACATACACATGCAACGGTTCAAAAAAATAGGACTTGATCACAGAGGTGAAGCGGGACTTGTGTTGCAACACAAATTTAGCATGACAAAAAAGCTGGCAGAAAATGAGACGCTCGCAAATTTGATAACGCTCGCAAATCACAAGCATTAAAACAGGTTTCAAGCATTCGTCTTCCCGGTTGAGAACTGTTCTAGCTGCCTATTGGATTTTACACATCCAATATTTACACATCCACATCCGACTAGGCGCTCTAAAAGCGGGACAAAACGTTTGATTAAATCAATCGTCTCTGAAATTGAGCAACAAACTTGTACGAAATAGATGTGAAAAAATAATAATTTTGTCTTACAGCACCATCGGTTGGTTGTGTAATCACGCAAAAAATGTATTTTTTATTAAACGATTTCAAGTAGATAACTTGAAGTTTTTTGAAAATTTCTAGAAAACTAAGAAATCAGGCCAATTAAAATGAGCCAAAACAACTTAGACCGCATAAAGCATTTGAGCAAAAAAAGAAAAAAGGATAATTTACTTCGTCAAGTTTAATAAATTTACAAATTACAGGAGTAAACCAAAAACACTTAAAACTACAACTGTCTACAACACAAAAAATTTCTGCGACGCGGCAACAAAATAAAATCAGACAAACTATAGGCCAACGATTTTTTTAACTGGAATATTTTCAGTTTGAAAAAAAAAACAGGTCTTGGGCGCAGGGGCGGATTTAGGGGGGGGGGGGGGGGGGGTCGGACACCCCCTCTTTCAGGGATTGGACCCCCTGCCGACCCAAAGGGTCCACCCTTTGTTCTATTTTGAGATATCCATATTTGGTGACGGACCCTAAAAATTGTCTAAAAGCGCCTTTGGCGCCAATATATACTTACTTTAAGAGGGGAGCGCGCGCCAAAAAAAACGCACTTTTTTTTTGTCAAAATTTTCTAAAAGTGCCTAAAAACGCCTTTTTTGGCCTGTTTTTCAAAATTTCGCCTGCGGCGCACAAAATTTGACCAAAACAGGGTCTTTTTAGTGCTTTGAGAGAGCTCGGAAAATCCATTCGGGTCGACCTTTAAAAAAAGGTCGACAAAAACTTCGAAAATTTTTGACCCCATCCCCTTGGGCGGATTTAAACTCAGGACCTTTGCTAGCCTAGGCCCAGTCGTCGCCTCTAGGCCAAGTTTACCGGAGAAACCGAGAAACCTTCTTTGCTTATATATCAAGCTATCAAGTAATTTCGTTAAACAAGTTATTATACCGGAAAAAAGCATGCGTAATTACTAACTAATTCGTCTGACATATTTTGTGGTTTCAACAACGCTCCAACAACTTCAAACAAAATCATAAAATAACAAAAAGAAAGCTTAAAGAAGCCGGACATATTATACCATTTTGATCAACCAAAACAAAGCTAAAAAAATTTCAGTTCACAGGATCAATGAACAATTTTTGGCGTGTTTGAAAAACAGAATCTATCCATATAATCCGTTCAACAATTCCAGCATTTGATATTTTAACAAAACTAAGGACAAAGTAAGAAGAAAAATACAAAAGAAACTTGATACAAATGAAGTCTTTGAAAACTTCGGATGAACGTCATCAATGACAACAAAATGAGTCTTTGCAAAACAGACAAAAAAAAATCAGTCGGACACAATTTAATTCAAAAACATCTGAAGATATAGGTCAAAAACTCATTATTGTGAAAATTATGACAGTAAAAACTATTAATTTAGAGCTTTTTCGAGGTTAATTTTCTGATTTCACTCAACCCTCAGGCCATAACTGAAGTTAATATAAAAATAAATAAAACTAGAAAAAAAGGTTTTTTTTTCAAAAAACTTTTGAACGATTCGCTAAAACTGGTTAAAAATTATGTGAACATAGATGTGTAGAAACTTTTAAGCGTTAACAGCGCGCTTCCAATTCGAACCCGATGAATCCGAAAAAAAGTCACAAGTCATTTTGCGTGTTGCAATTAAGTCTATACGTATACTCAAGCCCACCGAACAGAAAAACAGCGTGTAGCTAGAAATACAAAATCGCAGCTCAAGCGAACGCATAACGCAAAATTACATCGAAGATTGGATGGATTTGTTTTAAAAAAAACTCCAAGGAAAGGGAGTTTTTTGTAACAGCTATATTACCAAAAAACAAAACAGGCAAATCTGCACTTCGCAAAAACCCACAAAATAGCTAGAACTAGCTTTTAAAAGATTTCGAAAAAACCGCCAGGCGAAAGTTTAATAAAATAAAACCCCTCTACGTGAATCGAACACCGGACATCGATCAAACAGGTAGAAAGAACTACACTAGCGAGCCTTTGATGCTTAAATAATGAAAACACTAGCCACTCATTAAGAGGAGAACACAAGTTATCATATAATGAAGCAAAATAGTATAAAAATTGAACTTTTTTATGCGAATTGGAGGACAAAGAAAGTATTCGTAACATAACACAGAACTAGCAGGCTCACTTGTTTAAAAACGTTATCTAATGCGACCTTTCAAAAAATCGAGCAAATCGTCACTTGCATGCGACATCGTTTGACATTGTTCGAATCTGCCAACAACGTTTCCAACGGTAAAAGTAAATCACGCGATTGCAAATACACTTGCTCTCTTAAGTCTAAGCAGATCCAAAAAATACAGAAAAGTGTCGATGAAGAAGGAAACAAACATACAGACTTGTTTTCTGCAACATTTAATTTTTCGCACTAGACAGAAATTATATGCAGTTGAAGTTCTTCGAGTTTCAAGAACAAATTTATAATTAACACCTTTTTGATTAACTAAAGAAACACAATTAGAGAAAACTGAGTCAATGGGTAAACCTTCTATTCCGCTGGGAAATCTCAATTTTCAAATCCACTTTCAAAACTGAAATTCGGTCACGTATTATGCGCTATTTGCACATTTGTTAATAGACATTGTTTTAATTTGAATTTGATTTGAACTCAAAAACAAATCGAATGTAAAACGTCAAAAAACTTCAAAACTTTTTCCTGAAAAAACTTAAACGCTCTCAATAAGTGTATCTACTCCGTTTATTGTCACCTAATAAGCACAATTGAAAAATACAGTAATTTTGATCAAATCGTTGAAAAAAAAACAATTAAATACTGATCAACTAGAATGCATGCACCATTAAGAACATAAAATTGGCAAGGAGCAAAAAGAATTGCCTAAAAAATTATCAAGGGCCATATCAAAATTTAAAAAAAAAACGTCTGCTAAACGCTTGAAACTGAAATAAATATACCATTGAGAATGTACATAAACAAATCTTATACAGCCACAACTGATCGACTAATGTCTTTTGATTCCCATCGGTTCTGGGTGATATGTTACAATAGCTGGCAGCATCAAATCGAATAGCTGGATCGCTTTTTGTTATAATTCGAACTGTATTTAAAATTTATTTGAAAGGCCAAATTTGGCGAAACTGTAAAATTAAAATTTTTGAATAACATTTCATCTAGCAGAGTAGTGTAACCACAAAAAATATCTTAGTCGCATGTACAATTGATTGAAAAGGAAATGTCTATAATATGCATTATAGTTCCCAAATGTAATACATGCACTCTTCTCAAAATTACCACCTATTGCAACATATCACCCGGTTCTTGCCAAAAAGAGTAATGGTTCTGGCCAAACCCGAACCTTGTCAAGATGGGAGATCATCTAATCAATAGTGCTGATATAAATTACTAGTACACAACGAATACAGCAAGAGAATTAAAACGCGTTTTTCTAAACGTGGATTGATTTTTGACTAATATTTCTTTAAAATTTAGAACCAATATGGTTTAACTTATTTAGTGGAATTTTAACCAGAAAAGGACCACTTTTGGAATTTATTACTGATAAAAAAAGTACGCCAAAACTATCGAATAAATTTTCTGTAGGACAGTGAGCCTCTTATGTAGCTAGCTCAACAAAGTTTAAGAAGGGCAGAATCTTATGAATTGTGTCTATCAATTTATTTTTGTTCGATAACCAATAAATTCAATTTTTTCTATAGAAAATATCAATTTTTATTTTAAAACAAATTTTAGACGTTTTGCGCCAACTTTTGGAGATTATTCACTTCTTAAATGACATTTTTTGCCATCAAACCAAAATACAAAATCAAACCACAATCAAAACAAAATTCAAAAGTGAGACAATTATTTTTGTTCGATAACCAATAAATTCAATTTTTTCTATAGAAAATATCAATTTTTATTTTAAAACAAATTTTAGACGTTTTGCGCCAACTTTTGGAGATTATTCACTTCTTAAATGACATTTTTTGCCATCAAACCAAAATACAAAATCAAACCACAATCAAAACAAAATTCAAAAGTGAGACAATTATACATTTCTTGAACTTTTTTGGACCACACAAGAGAATTGAACCGCAATTGAACCGTTAATTTTGGTGAAATGCTTGATTGACTAAGTTTTAAATTCCAAGTATTGTACGCTTTGACCGGCTTTGTATGCTCCCTTAATTAGGCTCTGCTATGATGAGAATTGAGTAAATCTGAATAAACTTTTATCCGGATCAAGAAAATTGGTCTAAAATCAACCCAAAACGTTCCAAAACATCTCTCCAAATCCAGTTCCGAGAGAATAAAGTCCACTGGATTAAATAAAAAAAGTCGCAATTTAAGCCAATAGCTAATCACCGCCAGTTTCCGCATGCAAAACAAAAAAAGTAATTTTGTACAAAATTAAAACTTGAACTTGTTGTTTGGGCGGTGCTAGCTCCGTTAATCTATTTCAGGGGGCAGTTGTGAGATTGTTCAAATGGCCCTTCTGAGTATATTTCGAAAGCTAGAATAAAATTAGTGTATGGAATGTTCCGATGACTTATGG